TGAACCCAACATCTCATTACATAGCAGGCAAGTGCTCTACCATTGGTCTACAGTCCCTCCACCTACTTTTTTATTTTTTATGTAAAATTTTATTTTAAGACAGGGTCTCATTCAGTTACCCAGGCTAAACTCAAACATGGGAGCTTCCTATTTCTGCTTCCTGAGCTGCTGAGCTTACAAGTGTGTGCCACCATATCTAGAATTTATACTTATTTTTTGACATGTTTCTAGTGTACTGCCCCTTGATTTTGTAGTATCCATTTATAGTTAATCTAGGTCTATTTTCAAATAACACTGCACTACTTCATGGGTGGTGCAGCTATCTTATTACAGAATATTTCCTGTTTCTTTTTCCTGCCCCTCATAATGAAGATACTATTATTTATTTTTCTTATCTTTAAACTATAATTACCAAATGCACTTGTGGTATTATTTTGAACAAACTTATCTAGTAAATCAACCTTACTTTTTCTCTAAAGCTCTTCTTTACCTGTGTTTTGAACCAATATTTTGTTCTTTCCTTTTGAAGAATTTATTTAATATCTTCTGGAAGGCATGAGTGCTAGCGACAAATTCCTGCAATTATTATTTACATTGAAAAGTCTTGGGGCCAGGGAGATAGCCCAGTGACTTAAGTGCATGCCTGGCAAGTGCAAGGTCTTGAGTTCAATCCCTGGTACCAAAAAAAAGTATTCTTTACTTTTAAAGGATAATTCCACAGGATAGGAAATTCTAGGTTAGTGGGGGGCTTTTCCTTTCAATAATTTAAATATTGTGCACTCTTCTTTGCATGGTTTCTGAAAAGAAGTTCAATTTAATTTTTATCCTTGCTCTACCATGATTTGTTTTTATCTTTTCTAGCTTCTTTCAAGGTTTTATTTTTGGTTTTGGTTTTCAAGGTTTTATCTTTGTTTTGGCTTTTCTGGATTTTCTGATTTTCTGGTTTTCCTTAGCTTTTCTACTTTTTCTGTAAGATTCAAGAAATAGTTTCCCTTGAGGTAAACATTGTTTTAAAAGACCAAATGATCTGAATAGATTGCAGAGTACTAATTTCCCTTTCTTTTTCCTACAAGTGTGAGGTGTTTTCTTTAGTTTTCACTGTGAAAACTCAGTAGGTCTTCTGAAGTTAAAACTCACGGGAGGTTGAATACTACTGAGTGGCTGGAGCATTTAACCTTCCTAACAGCATTGTACAACCACTGTGATATCTGCATCCTTTTCCACATTTATTATCTGGTTGTTTGATACTCTACAACTCCAGTTGTGGAGTGATATTTGTTTGTGATTTTGACTTGCATTTCCATCATGACTAATGATATTGGTATCTTTTCCTGTGCTTTTAGACCAATGGTGTATAATCTTTGGAGAACTGTCTACTCAGTTACCTTGCCACGCTAGCCTTTTTTTTTTTTTTTTTTTTTTGATAGTGGGAATCAATCTTAGGCCCTTGCACTTTACAGGCAGGCAGGCACTTATGCTGTTGAGCTATGTCCCTGGCCCTACTTTGCCTATTTTAAAATTGTGTTATTTTTGTTTTTATTATGGAATTTTAAACAATATATTTTTGGCACAACTTCCTTGTCAGATATATGGCTTATAAATATTTTCTCATGTCTTTCAACTTTGTAGTATCTTTTTATCTTTTTTATTTTTTAATTAATTAATTAATTATTGTATTTTAGAGAAGGGTCTACAGCGTGTTTAGGACCTCACTACTAGATTGGACTTGTAGTGATCCGCCTGTTTACAGCCTCCCAAGAGCTGGGATTGCAGGCATGCTCCGCTATGCCCAGTCTCAATTGCTGTCTCAGCACGCCCTGGGTGTGGGGCTGGCACAGCAGGCCTGGGTATCGAACCCCCAGTCCCTGTGCCTGCTTGCAGGTGCTTTAATCTGCTGAGCTATTTGTCTGGCCCTTTTGTGGTATCTTTTGAAGGGCCGACACTTTTAATTTCAAGACACAATCTTAATGTGGTATTTTATTGATTGTTATTATTTTGATGTCACATTTAAGAATTGTTTGTCAAATCTAAAGTAAAATGTACTTCTACGTTTTCTAAGAGCTTTATAGTTTTAAATCTGACATCATTTTGAGAGGTATTTTTTAGTGGTGTGAAGTAAAGTTTTTTTTCTCTCTTGTATGTGCCTATTCGTTTCCTTATTGAATAGTTTTGTCATCCTTACCTTACATGTAAGTGTACTATTGATGTATAGGTTTAACTTGGGCCCACAATTCTATTCCATTTATTCATTATTTTGCCTGTTCTTGTAGCAGATGTACAGTGTTTTGATAAGTGTTACTGGTAGCACATTTTGAAATTAGAGTATGCATCTTATTGGTTCTTTTTCAGTATTGTTTTAGCTATTCTGGTTCTTTGCAATTACATAAGGATTTTAGAATTAGCTTGTCAGTTTGCACAAAAAAGTCATCTGTGATACCAGTAGTATTACATTAACTATAGATCCTCTGGGGAACATTGCCATCCTAAGAACATCTATAAGCATGGAGATTTTTAAAATTTATTTAAATTATCTTCTGTCTCTTTCAATAGTGTTTTATAGTTTTCAGAGTGTAAGTTTTGGAGGGTTTTTGGTTTTTTTTTTTTTTTTTTGGTTGTTAAATTTACTCCTGATTATTTCATTCTTTTTGATACTATTGCAAATGAAATTATCTTAATTTTAGTTTTGAACTACTTTATACCATTTCACATTATAGCGTAATTTAAAAAACAAAATCCTAAGAAGTCCATTAAGATACTCCTAGGACCAGGCCAGGGAGATATCTCAGTAACATAAGCATGTGCCTGGCAAGCACAAGGTCCTGAGTTCAATCTCCAGTAACACACACACACACACACACACACACACACACACACACACAAAACTACTAGCACTAATAATCAAGTTCAATAAGGGTACTGGATACAACATTTACAAAAATTGTGTTTCTATCATCTGTGGCTAAAGATAGCTTTACCATTTTCCAGGATGGCATTATGTGTTAATAGTGCTCATTCTAAACCTTGATTTTTAGAATAAGTTTCTATATCAGTAGCCAGAGCATCTTTACTCTCTGTAAAGTTAATATAAAACTCCATTGTATAGACATGCCACAGTTTTTTAGTCTTTTGTAGATTAATCTAGTCATCTATTTCCTGAAGAAGCAGATGTTCTATATAGCTCTTTCTTATGGCAAAGAAGTGAAAAGATTTTCTGAACTATAGGATTATCAGATAAGTATGGGTAGGATATGAAGGAACAATAATAATTTCACCTTCTCTGAAAGAGTCATGCTAAGAAGGTACAACTAAACTAGCAACCAGTAAAATTATATCTCACACTTTTAAATGAGAATAATGCATTGTATATTGGATTGGATTATTAACTATGAGATGATTTTAGAGCAATTCTCTAAATAGTAATTAAACCTAAATGTTTTAGTAGTAAGAGCTCATATCTTCATATTAACTCCCCTGTCTCTGCCATTAATCAGTGGTGTGAATGTGAGCAATCATTTTACCTTTTTGTATCAATGACTTCACCTGTAAAAATGATAAATGTATCTACCTTTCCTGAGTATACATACATATATACATACACACAGAGAGTACATAGCAAGTACATTGGCACCAGAAAAGAAAAGCTCTCAATAAATGTTAAGGTTCTTCTTTTTTTAGAAGCTTTCTTCACTGGGTATGGTGGCTCACATCTATAATCCCACCACTTGGGAGTCTGAGGGAGGAGGAGCCTTGTGAGTTTGAGACCAGCCAGGGCTACGAAGTGAGCTCAAGGCCAGCCTGTATATCGAGATCCTATCTCAAAAAGACAAAACAAAAAACAAACAAACAAACAAAAAAACAGGATTTACACCCACATTATAAAAGCTTTCTTCATGTATTACCTTAAGAGTATTGACTTTGTGAATGTTTATAATCCCAGTTACAATGGTGGCTGAGGCAAGACTGTGAATTTGAGATCAGTCTGGGCAAGGGAGCAAAGCCCTGTATTTAAAAAGAAAGGAAAATTATTTTACTCTTGTGAATCATCTAGGAAAAAATACATTCAAACAAAAAAATGATCTTTTTAAAATTTAGAATTGGACTGTAAAGGGTCCACTCTGTTTGGTGTTAGATATAATATGTAAGTTTTTACATAAATCTGTTAAAATTTAGTGCTTTTACTGCTTAACTTCAAGCATAAATGTAAGATCATATATTTTATTTACAAATTAAATATTAATAGTTGTGTTGTTTTTCTCTCAAAATCACACAGCAGACATTTATCAGAGAAGCAAAGAATACTTAAAAACTGAATCTTTTTTCATGTTCATTTTCAATTCAGATTTAAAACTCTGCTTTATTCCTATGAGAGAGAGAATAATTGAGTTTACTTATTTGCTGTGACAATGATTCACAGTATATTTCCTGCAGAAAGATGGAAAAGATTATGATATTTCTGCAGGATTCATTCCCTCAGTTAAACTATGAGGTCTGTTAGAGTCCTGCTCAAGAACCACCTGCTTAAAAGTAAGATTTTTGCAGTGATAGGAATCAAACTCAGGGCCTTATGCATGCTAAACAAGTGCTATACCCCTGAATTACATTCAGTGCTTTCCAGAATTGAAAAATAGGTTTCAGATGCTGGAACTTCCAGAGTTACAGCCTAGAGTTCAAGCCTCAACTAGGTCATTAGGAAATTCTGTTGGTGGGTAGAAATGTACCATAGTTTTTAGTAAGCATCTGAGCTGTTCAGTTTTTTTCAGCAATAGTTACAAAAATGAACTTTTCATGACTTGTAGGATAGAAATAGAAGCCAACGTTTATTATATTGCATGATACATTTGCTGTAAGCTTCATGTATTTCCTTGAGCTGAAATATTGTCTAGTTTAAGTGAATCACACCTATGAGTAATATATTTTAAAACTATTAAAAAGAAATAAATGAATAAACTGATTTGGAGTAAAATAATTGTTATTACTTTAATACACTGTTGTCTTTTTAGGCTCACGAGAGGCTTGAAGATTCAAAATTAGAAGCTGTCAGTGACAATAATTTGGAATTAGTCAATGAAATTCTTGAAGATATCACACCCCTAATAAATGTGGATGAAAATGTGGCAGAATTGGTTGGTATACTCAAGGAACCTCACTTCCAGGTAACTTTTGTCTGCCTTTCTTCTTCCCAGGTCTCATGTTCCTCAGTATTCTCACTGTTGCCTTCCAGTGTAGCGTGAGCATTGGCTTATAAGTATGCAACTTCCAGCTTAGGTATTTGAATATCCTGATAAGCTGGATATATATAAACCATCAAACACAACTGTACATACTTAAATACTGCATATGTATATACAGCATCCATTACAGAAATATATCACCATGGATTTCTTGTGCAATTAAAGAAAACCATAACCTTGATGAATTGTCAGAGCACATTATAGCAACATTTCCTCACGTTGCGAATGGATTTCTTTCTTCTTTTCTACCACTCTGCTTTGAAGTCCTTCTTGACCCAATAAGGAATATTCTTTAGCAGTCATTATGAAGATTGGGCTTTCATAGGGCAGTTTCTGTAGAGCTGTCTACAGGTAGAAAGTTACATAACATAGTGATTCTGCGGATTTGGACCAACATAAGTACAATTTAGTCATTGTCCTGTGCCTCAGTTCATCAGTTTCATGAAGTGTCAATTTCAGAGGAAGGACAGAAAAATTTCTTTTTAACCTGTAGTAATTAAGAGTATGATACTGGGGAATGTTATGGAAGTAAATTAATTGAAGAGAATAGAAATCCCAGAAATACAGAAAGCCCTGTATCTCAGTTGGTTTTGTGAGAAACAATGAGAAAGAATAGGGCTGGGGATATAGCTCAGCAGCATAAGTGCCTGCCTGGCAAGCACAAGGTCCTGAGTTCAATCCCTAGTACCGCAAAAAAAAAAAAAAAAAAAGAGAAAGAATATTGCTAAGATAGAAGCATATACTATTGTAAAGAGACAACTCTTTTGCATTACAAATGTTAGCACTGAAAATCAAATGGTAATACTCATCTGCTTTTTCTCATGCAAACATATATCTCAAAAAATGGTATTGCAGAATACAATGATTAATGGTGAGGTATTTCTTACGTATGCCAGTGTCTTGTATACAAAAACATGGATAGCTGTCAGAAATACTTTTTCTTTAGGAGTCAGTTGATTGAATCCTTTATAAGGTATACTAAATGATTCAGACTTTATCCAGAGGACAAGTGGAAATCTTAGAGGCAGGGAGTTATTGTTGATATGAATTTCTATCCAGGTTTCTTTGTGGCATTTGGTTGAGTACCCTGGAAAGCCCACATTCCCCCTTCATTATGATGCTGACTTACTGAAGAGACCAGCCCAATGTCCAGTCCCACTTTGTGGGTTTGTCTGGCTGTTTTCTGCTGTATTGTCAGCTCTTCTATTTCCTGTAAACAGAAGTTCCAGCTAAAATGTTGATGATTCAAGTTCATTATTTAGAACTAGAATGCATCTTAAATGTGATACAACACACATTTTGACTACATCAGAAAATTTATACTACCTGGTTGCTGTGCCATGATTGATGTAGAGAGATTATTCTCTTGATTAAGGATAATGATGGTCTCATCTTTTTTTTTTTTAACACTTCTAAGAAGTAAACTGCACCAAGTAATCAAATGTGTTGTTATTCTGACATACTAATGCTATTGCCTGTCAACCATTTATTTATCTTTTGATAAACACAAATTAATCCATGCCTAAATCGATATTTTTCATTAAAGGTTGCAATGCAACATTTTCCCAATTCTTTCATTCTACATTTATTAGTGTTCCTCATAAATGTAGAGCTTCTCATCAGCTATCTTGTTATTTTGTAATGTATTTCATACTGACAAAACATGGAAATGGTTCTTTTTACCAGTTTTAAAAATAAAGAGTTGCCACTGGTGTAAGCCCCTGCCTGGCAAGCGCAAGGTCCTGAGTTCCATCCCTGGTACCACTAAATAAATAAAATAAAATAAAATAAAATAAAATAAAATAAAGTAAAAATAAGTTGCAAGGTCCGGCCAAATAGCTCAGCAGATTAAAGCATCTGCAAGCAGGCCAGGGGCTAGGGGTTTGATCCCCAGGCCTGCTGTGCTGGCCCTGCCCCCAGGGCATGCTGAGACTGCAATTGAGACTGGGCGTGGTGGCATACACCTGTAATCCCAGCTCTTGGGAGGCTGTAAACAGACGGATCACTACGAGCTGGATCTAGTAGTGAGACCCTGAACACCCTGTAGACTCTTCCCTAAAATACAAAAAAAAAAAAAAGAGAGAGAGAGAGAGAGTTATTTAAATGCTAAGTGTGGTGGTATACACCAGCAATCTCTGTATTCTGGGAAGCTGAAGCAAGAAGATTACCAAATTCATTCCCAGGATGGACAACTACATATTGTCTTAGCAAAACCTTATCTCCAAATTAAAATTAAAAAGGGACTGAGGACATAACTCATTGAGAAGGCCCTGGGTTCTATCCAAAGTACCAAAAAAAGAAAAGTTGTGATAAATGAATTTTTCAGTCCTTCTTTGTTTTCAATAGAAATGTAGATTTGGGAAATTTCATTTACCTCATTGTTTCTGTTCTCTGTGATTACTCGTAGTTTTCAAACTGTGATGACTTTATCCAGTTATGGGCAGTTTAGTATATGAGTCTGAAGTTCATGAGCATTCTGGACCAGACATGTAAAATTGGGAGGTATTAACATCTAAGTAGTGGTTCAAGTCATGGGAATGAAAACTGACTGAAAAGAAAATGTAGGATAAAAATCCAACCAGCCCAAGTTGGTGCTTTGAATAACTTTGAAGAATCCTTACATATAGATTTGTGAGTTTCTTTTTCTTTGTGAATTTTTTCTACAATTTCTTAAAAATGATTTCATTGAATCACTATGAATTGCTAATTAAGCCAGTATTCAGATTCTTATATTTTGATTTTCTGGGTGGATTTTTGGGGCTTATATTCTGTTCACTCAAATTATTGTGTACTTAGCTTTATGCTGAATATATTGTTATAGCATACCTTACTCCTTTAGGAAAAATAATGAAAAAAAGTAAATATAAAATAACCAAGAAATTCCTAGAAAGCTAGATAAAACCATCTGAGATGACAGGACATTTATAGTAAAAATAGAAGTTAAATAAATACATTATATCCAGCATTGTTACTGACTCATTTTTTTTCCCATCAGAAATATCCCTTAAAGACTGAAATTCTTCTTGGTGATATAAAATTTCCTATCACTGATATAAGATGCTAACATTTATTTTTTGTTGGATATCTTAAGAGACATTTTTCACATGTAAAAAAGGGTATAAAACTAATTTAGCAATGAGACAGTAAAAATTTAGATTGTCATTTGTATTTTCATGATGCCTCATAAGTAGAGATTAATGATAAGTATTAAGTGATGTTGAGAAAAACACCAATGACAGTGAAATTCAGTGCCTTTTCTGCCCCAGACTTGGAAACTTGGGTTTGATTCCTAGTGAGAATGCCACTTTAAAAAAATGTGGCTGAATTCTGTCTGTTCAAACTTAAAGCAAGAAAGTTGCTTGGGGATAATAAATAAAACTACATATTTTTATATTTTTAAAAAGATTCTATGTTTAGTTTCTGTTTAGAAATTTAATAATGTGTGAGTTAGAAATTGTTAGCACTCTGCTGGGATAATGAACTAAGAAATTATTTTTAGTAACTTACTCCATCAGTAGCTAATAACCACGTGGTGTTTTGATTTCTAGTCACTCTTGGAAGCACATGATATTGTGGCATCAAAGTGTTACGATTCACCTCCATCAAGCCCAGAAATGAATAATTCTATCAATAATCAGTTATTACCAGTAGATGCCATTCGTATTCTTGGTATTCACAAAAGAGCTGGGGAGCCATTGGTGAGTAGATAACTGTGTACCTTCTTAAATCTAAAGTATAACGTCCTTTGTGGCTTAGTCACTAGTGTAATAGAGTTTTATTTTTGATACTACATTAGTGTGAACATTGTGTTCATGTGTGATTTATCAGTCTTTTTGGCCCATATTTAAATACCTACTGATGTTTTATTAACTTAGTTTTATGAAGCAAAACCAAAATGAAAATTTAAACTTAGAAAAAAAAAAACCCTCAAAGGTAATTATTCTATTTCTACTGATCTTTTGAAAAACTGAATTTAGGTTATTTACTGAAGGTGATAGCAAAACACAGAAGAAAATTGTACTAAAAACTGTAGCCATAGTAGCGCCCTAGAAATAGTGAAGGTTGCTGTCTCCTACTGAAATCACATATTTGTGGATGCTAAACACAGCTAAATAGAAAAGTGAGAAAGCGAAGTAGAAGTCCATATGCATGGACAAGTACCTTTACTTCTTTGAGCTTCCTTTTATCATATAGAATATAGACCAGATACTAGTGTGTTTCCTTTTTAGGATTAACCTTACTGTGAAAACCAATTTTGAGGGCGTGCTGTATGTTGCCATAGTTGTACATAATTTAATGGGATTAAAATATTAATATAGGAAAAAACAAAATAATCCTCATACCTAGTTTAAGAATATTTTATTACATATTCATAGTATTTGTATGTTTCTTCTTAGTAAAATAAGTAATAATTGTTTCCCATAGGGTGTAACATTTAGAGTTGAAAATAATGATCTGGTAATTGCCCGAATCCTTCATGGAGGGATGATAGACCGACAAGGTCTACTTCATGTTGGTGATATCATTAAAGAAGTCAATGGCCATGAGGTTGGAAACAATCCAAAGGAATTACAAGAATTACTGAAAAATATTAGTGGAAGTGTCACTCTGAAAATCTTACCAAGTTACAGAGATACCATTACTCCTCAACAGGTTAGTAATAAAATTTTGATAAAATTAAGAATACTGTTTTTTTTCTCTAATCCCTGTGTTGGATATGAACCAGAAGTTGTTACTATTTTTCTAAAGAAAAGAAAAATCCAAATAGTCTGATATAATTGTTCTGAACAGATTTGTTTTGTCATGTTTTATAAAGTAATTAACACTTATTATATCATTAAGGAGGGCCGGGGAGATGGCTTAGTGGAATAAGTGCTTCCCTGGCAAGCGCAAAGGACTGAGTTCAATCCCTGGTTCCACCAAAAAAAAAAAAAAAATAGTATATTTCTTTGTGAATACTATGCAACTCTGTCATTACGATAGCCTATAGCTAGGTAAGAGAAAAACCATGAAGCCTTTTAATTATTAATCTCTTACACATTTTTGACATGTGTTATCTTCCAGGCATTTTATTAGGGTCTTTGAGAGAATGTGGTTTAGGTCTGCTTCAGGTTAGTATTCATGTGATAGGCTAATTGAAGAATGAAGCCAGAAAGAAGAATGGATACAGATTGAAGAAAATTTTGGACATAATTTGGACACATTTGATTTGTATGTTAGGTAAAATGGATAACTGAATAAGGGAATCTTTTAATAGAGACAGTCAAGTTCCACAAGTGGCTGTTATTGTTGTGATGGTGATGATAAGGTAGCAGTGGTATGATGGAATTATAAAGAAAAAGGAATTGCAAAGAAAGAATTGGGGGCTGGTGAGATGGCTCAGTGGTCTGGAGCACCTACTTAGAACAGGCTTAGCAAAGCAGAGGGACCACAGTTCAATCCCCCAGCACCACATGCCAGCCAGCCCCGCCCCCTAGTGGGCTGAGCTGGCCACACACACACACACACACACACACAAATAAATAAAATTAAAAAAAAAAAAGAATTGGAACTCATCATAGTATGGAACTGAAGAAATGGGTTTTTAAGTTTAGATAACAAAGGTTATGCCAGTATATTTTATTTTCAGATTGTTAGTATAAGAGTTTAAAAGCCTAGCTTTTATATTTCCTATACAACTCTTTGAAATAATACTCATTGAATGATTATTTTAAACTTTTCTTTGGAAGATAAGATAAACTATTCTTGAATTTTAGTATATATATTGGACTTCTGAAAATAAATAGGTTTGTAACAAACTGGTTGAAATGAAGGTAGAGAACTAAAATGACATCACAACTAGGCATTAGAGGGCCAGGGAGATAGCTCAGTGGCATAAACACCTGCCTGGCAAACACAAGGTCCTGAGTTCGATCCCTGGTACCAGAATCACCCAAAACGAAACAAAGAATTAGGCATTACCTACAACTAGTACCTCCAAGAGAGCTTTAATTCCTTAGTTGGCATTTATCCATTTGTGACAATAGGAAACCTGTCTTGGATCTAAGTTGTAAAAGATTTATTATTTTATTATATGTTGCGATAGAAATTCTTTTTTTTTTTTTTTTTTTTTTTTTTTTTTTTTTTTTTTTTTTTTTTTTTTGCGGAACCAGGGATTGAACTCAGGTCCTTGCGCTTGCCAGGGAAGCGCTTATTCCACTGAACCATCTCCCCGGCCCCAGAAATTCTTTTTTTTCTTTCTGTAATTTGCACTCCAGAATCCTTATAGTTCACCATAGCTGTAATGACTTTATAAGCAAAACAAAGTTTGATAATATTAGATTCTTAGATAGATTTTGTGTCTGATGAATTATGACTAGAATAAAATGCAAGGATATTTAGCCTGGATTTAAGCATAAACATTTCTGTATCTCAGACTTTCTCAGAGTCTTTCTCAAATTCTGGTTTTCATTTAGTCCTTCAAGCTTGGGGAATGGATTGATGTGAAGGAAAAGTAGTCGTAAATCTCAACCCTGTCATAAAAAAGAAAGGCACTGTGATATGAAGGCTCCCAAAGGAGGGCTAATACTTATCCAAACTGGGATTTCTTTTTTAATGAATAGGAGAACTGTTACTCATAATGTTGAAGCAGTAAACGTATACCAAGATTGGCTTAGGCAGCTAAACAACCATGTGCATCCTGCTCGGAAGTACTGTGTGGAAGGAAGGGCATTTATCTTCTTCAGCTCTTTCACTGGCCTATCGCGTCATATGGGAATTCCCCCCTTAATTACAGTTTTTCTTTCTGCAGCTTGTTATTCATGGTCAACCAGTCTGAAAATATTAAGTGGACACTTCCTGAAACCAATAACTCATAATTGACCACCATTCTCCATAATGTAATAAGATATAAGATATTGTGCCATCCTGCTCAGTTCTGCACATGTTTATCCTTTTGTCCAGCATACCCAGCTCACCCTCTATATACTGCCTGTCCATTAGTCAGTTAGTAGCTATCTGTCCGTAATCATATTGACTACCATAGTATCATAGTACTTGTGTGTGTGTGTTTTTTTTTTTGCCAGCATGAGATTATTTATTTTATAATATTTTATCAAGTTAAATATCTTAAACACAGATTGACAGCCAGATGAACAAAGTAAAACATAGAAATATACACAATACTTATTGTAAAACAACTTTTAGTAATACTGGCCATGCTGGAGATATATATATCTATATCTATCTATCTATCTATATATATATAGTTATATAGTTATATAGTTATATAGTTA